CTCCTCTGACACATCACATACCTGTGTTCGGCTGGCTCGGCTGTTAAGGTACTTCTGGGCAGTCCACACGCCAAGAAGAGCCGACTTGTCCGTCGCCGGTAAGCCAATGGCCGCCATATTTGACAGGAATGCATTACTGTCTGTGTCTGTTACCCTCGTTCAACCCACAACCGATGGGATTCGCCTTTCGTTTCTGCTGGTGGTTGAAATCTGTAGGCTGCTCGCACAGCGTGCTGAATGATTTAAGCCTATTTTGCTCGCTCAAAACTATTTTTAGTCGCAAATGCGAGTGAGGTGACTGATGGATCGCCACACTGCCGACATTTTACTCTGCCCATCATGGCATGCTGTTTGATTGCGTTATCAAAACTTATTCCACCGAATGTGTGTTTTTTTGCAATATTCGGCCGAATATATTCGGTCTCCAAATATTCGGTGCATCCCTACCTGCAACACAGATAGTCAAATTGGCAGCAGCAGCTGGTTTTAGAACGTAAAGCACATCACCTGTTTTCCACGGTCAGTCAGCTTGTAGTGAAGTCCGCTGGTCAAGTGAAAATGACCGCAGACGGCGTGTTCACTTGCTGCTGCCAGTGCTCCATCCCTACGGAGCCCTCTGTTTTTGTCCTCACGTGTGTGTGTGTCTGACTGCTTACTTACAGCATATTATTGTGGCCTGTTTATTATGAGTACAGTCCATCTGATTCTCGTTTTGTTTTTCACCACTACAAATATAGCCACAGCCATAGCCAATATCTCACTATCACTATCCTCATTTATATTTTAAGAAGCTACAAATTATATTCAGCCACAAAATAAGCCCGAAAAGGTAAAAAACACAGCAGAGGTACAGGGAGTTGTTGTGTTGGGATGATACACCGTTTCATCTCGTTGAATTGGTGTGAACCGGCAGGTTTTTAGATCGTTGCGTTCCTTGTTCTATGCAGAAAAATTCTAAAGTTCGGCTGAAGGTAATGTAAGGCTTTATTAGTTTGGGGTAAACAAGTCAAGTAGTTATCTTCCGAAGTTAAAGTCCTTGTAGGACAAAGAGTTCTCCTGTGTGTAAATAACCCTCCTCTTCGCAGCTGCTGTCTGTGGAAACACAAAGAGGAAATGATGTGCTAAAAAACAACTGTAACTCAGGAAGATACCACTCAGAAGCCTCACATTACGTAGCTTCAGTTGATTTTAAAATAACCTTTTCTACATTAAAGGAAACCTGTGGATTTTAACCCCCAATTGTTGGCAGATACGGACAAATTGGCAGACATCGGATGAGGATGAGATTAAGGAGGATGATTTGCTAACTATTTACGGATGAGAGAACATGATGAGCCTCATTTAATGCAATGAAAGAGTCACCATCAATGATGACCTTAAGACAGGATTGGTTATGTGCCACCACTGTTCAAAAGCTAGGTAGGCTTTCCTGACAGTGACAGCCATTCACATATCTCTGCTGCACGTTTATTGGAAAGGTGTGACGTCAGTGGTGATGGATTGTAATTGGCAGTTTTGTAGAACTGTAAATGGGAACTGGCCTGCACTCTGTCAGTGGACACCTCACTAATGCTGTGTTTGGATTATACCTTCAAATAGTGCTTGGAGTAGGGAGGTAGGAACTATGAGCAGGGAGCTGAGAGCTCAGGCTAAGAGGTGGGAAGCAAAACTGAGAAGTGATTGCGTTCTATTGATATTGGCATGTGAGTATTGTATTAAGACAGGCTCACATCTATTCAAGTCTACCCTTTAACTTCTGCTTTTTAATACAGTTGCAGATAGGAGTTGAATTTGAAGCCAGCACAAGGATGCAAGACACCACAACATCCTTTGGTTACCAGTTGGACGTTCCCAAAGCTAACTTGCTTTTTAAAGGTAAATAGAGTATAAATACACCAGTAGCTACATCAGTTAAGTGACTGTTTATTTTTAAATTGCTAATTAATATCAAATGTCCTGAAATTCTTCTACGTTGTCATCTATCTCTACAGGCACGGTTGACAGTAACTGGGTGGTTGGGGCAACCCTTGAAAAGAAACTGGTGCCACTGCCTCTCACACTGGCCTTAGGGGCTTTCCTCAACCACCGTAAGAACAAGTTCCAGTGTGGCTTCGGTGTCACCATTGGCTAGAGGTGCGAGGGGCTGCCTGGAGCCAGCTCGCAGGCCACAGCTTGGACCGGCACAGAGACACACAGGAACCTGGACTAAGTTTTAGAAATTGGATTCAGAGACTCTCTTACAACTGTGATTTCTGGGGCAGACAGAGAGACAAAGACAACTACCAAGGAGCCAGGACTGGCCAAGCCATGCCTACATTCTGTAGCACAATGTCTTTCCTTTATGGTGTATTGGATATACCCAGAGGCTAGAGAGATGTATATCAGAGGGCATCAGTGATGCATGAGACCATGTGATGTGAAATCAAAGTAAGTGGGTAGACCTAATATATGGTGAACATGTATGATGATTAAAATAAATGTGATTTTTGTAAAAGTGGGTTGTGATTTATATTGAAGATAGTATATCGTGCCATCAAAAGTCATAGTATAGTAGGTCAGAAAGAAATGTTATATTAAACGTCATGGTATATTATGTCATAAGGAAACTAATGAAAAAAGTTAATATAAAACAAGTAATATAAAATGTCTTTGTATAGTATGTCATAAAATTACTGATTAAAAAGATTGTACTATAATATGTCATAAGAAATGTAATGAAAGAAGTTATAATATAGTAGGCCATAACAATCTTGTATAAAAAGGTCATTGTATAATATGGCATAAACATTTTGTATGAAACGTCATAATACATTATGTTGTCAAAAAATGTGATGAACGTCATAGTATAGTATGTCCTCAAAAAATGTTACCAAAAATGTCATAGTACAGTATGTTGTCAAAAATATGATTAAAAATGTCATAGTAAAATATGGCATCAAAAAATGTTATAAAAACATCATAGTATAGTATGTAGTCAAAAAATGTTACCAAAAACGTCATAGTACAGTATGTTGTCAAAAATATGATTAAAAATGTCATAGTAAAGTATGGCATCAAAGAATGTTATAAAAACGTCATAGTATAGTATGTCGTTAAAAATCTTATTAAAAACATAGTATAGCATGTCATTAAAAATTTCACCAAAATGTGATAGTATAGTATGTTGTCAAAAATGTGATTAAAAATGTCATAGTAAAGTATGGCATCCAAAATGGCACCAAAATGTCATAGTATGGTGGGTCGTCAATGATGTCATGAAAATATCATAGTATAGTATTTCTTCGAAAATGTGATAAAAAATATAGTATGTCATCAGAAATGTCATCAAAACATCATAGTATAGTATATCATAAAAAATGTGAGAAAAACGTCATAGTATTGTATGTCGTCAAAAATGTTAAAAAAAGAGTCGTACTATAGTATGTTGTCAAAAATTTGATTTAAAACGTCGTAGTATAGTATGTCGTCAAAAATGTGATTAAAAACGTCAATATAGTGTGGTCAAAAATATCACTAAAACGTAATGTGTGTAATCAAAAATGTCACCAAAATGTCATAGTATAGTATGTCGTCAAAAACAGGATAAAACTGTCATAGTATAGTATGTCGTCAAAAATAGGATAAAAACGGCATAGTACAGTATGTTGTCAAAACTGTGACAAAAATGTCATCGTATAGTATGTCGTCAAATAAAATGATAAAAACGTCATAGTATAGTATGTCATCAAAAATGTCACCAAAATGTCATAGTATATTATTTCGTCAAAAATAGGATAAAAACGTCATAGTATAGTATGTCGTCAAAAACAGGATAAAACTGTCATAGTATAGTATGTCATCAAAATTGGATAAAAACGTCATAGTATAGTATGTTGTCAAAATTGGGAAAAAAAATGTCATCGTATAGTATGTCGTCAAATACAATGATAAAAACGCCATAGTATAGTATGTTGTCAAAAATGTCATAAAAACGCCATAGTATAGTATGTTGTCAAAAATGTCATAAAAACGTCATAGTATAGTATGTCGTCAAAAATAGGATAAAAACGTCATAGTACAGTATGTCGTCAAAAACAGGATAAAACTGTCATAGTATAGTATGTCATCAAAATTGGATAAAAACGTCATAGTATAGTATGTTGTCAAAATTGGGAAAAAAAATGTCATCGTATAGTATGTCGTCAAATACAATGATAAAAACGCCATAGTATAGTATGTTGTCAAAAATGTCATAAAAACGCCATAGTATAGTATGTTGTCAAAAATGTCATAAAAACGTCATAGTATAGTATGTTGTCAAAAATAGGATAAAAACGTCATAGTATAGTATGTCGTCAAAAATAGAATAAAAACGTCATAGTATAGTATGTTGTCAAAAATGTCATAAAAATGTCATAGTATAGTATGTCGGCAGAAATGTGCCAAAAATGTCACAGTATAGTATGTTGTCAAAAAAAAAGGATAAAACATCATAGTATAGTATGTCATCAAAAATGTGACAAAAACGTCATAGTATAGTCTGTCGTCAAAAACAAGATAAAAACGTCATAGTATAGTATGTTGTCAAAATTAGGATAAAAACGTCATAGTATAGTATGTTGTCAATGTTGAGATTCAAACGTCATAGTATAGTATGTCGACAAAAATGTCATAGTATAGTATGACGTCAAAAACAGGATAAAAACGTCATAGTATAGTATGTCGTCAAAAATAGGACAAAAATGTCATAGTATAGTATGTCGTCAAAGTGGGACAAAAACGTCATAGTATAGTATGTCGTCAAAAACATGATAAAAACGTCATAGTATAGTACGTTGTCAAAATTGGAATAAAAACGCCATAGAATAGTATGTTGTCAAAATTGGATAAAAACGTTATAGTATAGTATGTCGTCAAAAATGTGACAAAAACGTCATAGTATAGTATATTGTCAAAATTGGGATAAAAACGTCACAGTATGGTATGTCGTCAAAATTAGGATAAAAATGTCATAGTATATTATGTTGTCAAAAATGGGATAAAAACGTCATCGTACAGTATGTCATCAAATAACATGATAGAAACGTCATAGTATAGTATGTCGTCAAAAATGTCATAGTATAGTATGTCATCAAAAATCGGATAAAAACGTCATGGTATAGTATGTCGTCAAAAATAGGATAAAAACGTCATAGTATAGTATGTCGTCAAAAATAGAATAAAAACGTCATAGTACAGTATGTTGTCAAAAATGTCATAAAAATGTCATAGTATAGTATGTCGGCAGAAATGTGCCAAAAATGTCATAGTATAGTATGTTGTCAAAAAAAAAAAGGATAAAACGTCATAGTATAGTATGTCATCAAAAATGTGACAAAAATGTCACCAAAATGTCATATTATATTATTTCGTCAAAAATGTGAAAAAAACGTAATCGTATAGTATGTCGTCAAAAATGTGACAACAACATCATAGTATAGTATGTTGTCAAAACTGTGACAAAAATATAATAGTACAGTATGTCGTCAAAAAAAGGATAAAAACGTCATAGTACAGTATGTCATCAAAAATGGGATAAAAACGTCATAGTATAGTATGTCGTCAAAAATAGGATAAAAATGTCATAGTACAGTATGTTGTCAAAACTGTGACAAAAATGTCATCGTATAATATGTCGTCAAAAATGTCATAAAAATGTCATAGTATAGTATGTCGTCAAAAATTTCACAAAACCATCATAGTGTAATATGTCGTCAAAAATAGGATAAAAACGTCATACTATAGTATGTCGTCAAAAACGGGATAAAAATGTCATAGTATAGTATGTCGTCAAAAACAGGATATAAATGTCGTCAAGTTTCACAAAAACGTCATAGTATAGTATGTCGTCAAAACTGAATAAAAACGTCATAGTATAGTGTGTTGTCAAAAATGTGACAAAAACGTCATAGTATGGTATGTAGTCAAAAATAGCATAAAAATGTCATAGTATAGTATGTCATAAAAAATTTCACAACAACGTCATAGTATAGTATGTTGTCAAAATTGGATAAAAACTAATAGTATAGTATGTTGTCAAAAATGTGACAAAAACGTCATAGTATAGTCTGTCGTCAAAAACAGGATAAAAACGTCATAGTATAGTATGTTGTCAAAATTAGGATAAAAACGTCATAGTATAGTATGTTGTCAATGTTGAGATTCAAATGTCATAGTATTGTATGTCGTCAAAAATGTGACAAAAATGTCATAGTATAGTATGACGTCAAAAACAGGATAAAAACGTCATAGTATAGTATGTCGTCAAAAATGTGACAAAAATGTCATAGTATAGTATGTCGTCAAAAATGTGACAAAAATTTCTTCGTATAGTGTTGTCAAAAATTTCACAAAAACGTCATAATATAGTATGTCCCCAAAAATGTGATAAATATGTCAGTCTTTTATGTTAATCAAAATGTGATAAAAACGTCACGTCTATGTCATCAACAATGTCACAAAATGTCATTGTGTAGTATGTCCTAAAACGTGTTAGAAATCATAGGATAGTATATCATTAAAACAAATCAAACAACACAAAACATGTTGCATGCATTTTCTTTTATTCTTAAATATGCTTGTTGAATCAGAATCACAGTACAGAAAGAGCTACAGAATTTCACCTCCTATCATAAACCTAGAGTATGTATGTATTTTTTCATGAAAAAATAAAAGGGCTCAAAGTAACCTTTTCTTTTTATTAACCAGTTAAAATCAAGTTTTTTTTCCATTTCTTTGATGGTCTGCTATATTGTAAGAAATCAAAGTACAGTTTCAACATTAGCCCAAAAAAGAAAATCCAAATATGAATATGGTCCAAACACCAAACACCACTGTAGAACAGATATTTCATTACCGCCAATACACAGCATCTACAATGAGTTCTTTACCCATTCCTTCTTTCCTTTTATTAGTTCAAGTTTTTATTATTTCCACAGAAACCACAAGAGAAGAAGAATAAATAGTAAAATCTGCTGAATTTCTCAGCCAGTGGCAGATCTTCTGGTCCTGTCCATGTGCAGAGGTGAGATGTGCCCGAGAGGAGACGTACATCAAGGTATTAAAAGCATCAGTGTCAGCAAGAGGGTGAGGACAGGAGAGCACACCAAAGCAACAGAGGAGCCAAAAATGCTGCAGCAGGAGGAAAGGAATGGATTAAATTAAAGACAGAGGATTTTTGACACATGCCTTATAGTACTTTGGAAAAGGCCCTATGACACCTCACTAAAAAAGGCTGCTGTGGTTTATAGGAAAATAGTTTGTGTAGTCTGCAGGTTACTAAGTAGCTGTGTGCTGATCTTACTGCTATTCTGCATTGTATTGCAATCATATATCTACTTATTGCAGCCTTTGTTGCATTGCAGTGTTTCTATTTTTTTTTTTTGCTTAATATGAACATACACACCTGTTTAGCCCCAACAACATCAAATTATGTATGTAAATGTTTATAACTAACAGTGAGTTGCAAGTGTAACATGTGTGAGTAAATCTGAATACCTGTCATCTGTTGTTCTAGATGGATGACGGGTGATCTCTGGATGAGTGGTGGGATGTGGATGAGTGGTGATTTCTGGATGAGTCGTGGGATGTGGATGAGTGGTGATTTCTGGATGAGTGGTGGGATGTGGATGAGTGGTGTGTTCTGGATGAGTGGTGGGATCTGGATGAGTGGTGGGATGTGGATGAGTGGTGATTTCTGGATGAGTGGTGGGATGTGGATGAGTGGTGATTTCTGGATGAGTGGTGGGATGTGGATGAGTGGTGATTTCTGGATGAGTGGTGGGATGTGGATGAGTGGTGATTTCTGGATGAGTGGTGGGATGTGGATGAGTGGTGATTTCTGGATGAGTGGTGGGATGTGGATGAGTGGTGATTTCTGGATGAGTGGTGGGATGTGGATGAGTGGTGATTTCTGGATGAGTGGTGGGATGTGGATGAGTGGTGATTTCTGGATGAGTGGTGGGATGTGGATGAGTGGTGTGTTCTGGATGAGTGGTGGGATCTGGATGAGTGGTGGGATGTGGATGAGTGGTGATTTCTGGATGAGTGGTGGGATGTGGATGAGTGGTGATTTCTGGATGAGTGGTGGGATGTGGATGAGTGGTGATTTCTGGATGAGTGGTGGGATGTGGATGAGTGGTGATTTCTGGATGAGTGGTGGGATGTGGATGAGTGGTGATTTCTGGATGAGTGGTGGGATGTGGATGAGTGGTGATTTCTGGATGAGTGGTGGGATGTGGATGAGTGGTGATTTCTGGATGAGTGGTGGGATGTGGATGAGTGGTGATTTCTGGATGAGTGGTGGGATGTGGATGAGTGGTGTGTTCTGGATGAGTGGTGGGATGTGGATGAGTGGTGGGATGTGGATGAGTGGTGATTTCTGGATGAGTGGTGGGATGTGGATGAGTGGTGGGATGTGGATGAGTGGTGGGTTCTGGATGAGTGGTGGGATGTGGATGAGTGGTGTGTTCTGGATGAGTGGTGGGATGTGGATGAGTGGTGTGTTCTGGATGAGTGGTGGGATGTGGATGAGTGGTGTGTTCTGGATGAGTGGTGGGATGTGGATGAGTGGTGTGTTCTGGATGAGTGGTGGGATGTGGATGAGTGGTGTGTTCTGGATGAGTGGTGGGATGTGGATGAGTGGTGTGTTCTGGATGAGTGGTGGGATGTGGATGAGTGGTGTGTTCTGGATGAGTGGTGGGATGTGGATGAGTGGTGGGTTCTGGATGAGTGGTGGGATGTGGATGAGTGGTGATTTCTGGATGAGTGGTGGGATGTGGATGAGTGGTGATTTCTGGATGAGTGGTGGGATGTGGATGAGTGGTGTTTTCTGGATGAGTGGTGGGATGTGGATGAGTGGTGGGATGTGGATGAGTGGTGTTTTCTGGATGAGTGGTGGGATATGGAGTAGAGGTGATTTCTGGATGAGTAGTGGGTGATGGAGGAATGGTGGTTACTGGATGAGTGGTGGGTACAATCCTGTAAAATGCATAGCATCATTTGAAAGGCATATTAAAATCAAATAATTTTCATTAAGTTTTGTTTTAAAATGAGAAGTTGTACAAGTGCTGAAAGTGTACTCAATTTGATAACACAATGTCCTACCGTGGTGAGCATGGGGCGTTATCCAGATCTTCAGGCGGATGTGTCATCATCACCGGTTCCACTTGAGGACATGGAAGAACACTTCCATTAACCAGAGGAGTAAGATCTAGCATAGGAAGGAAGTGTCAGTAATGATATACAACAAAACGTCCACTTAGGTGTACAGTAATGTTTCAAAGTTAGTTGTAGAATTCCAAGCAAAACAGTTAGACGGTTAAACAGTAAAAAAAAAAAATAGAATAAAATAAAATATTTGCCTTGGAAGCTGAAGACAAAAACGACACTCCCTCCCTTGAGGAAGTTTCTGGTTTGTATTTCCTCTGAATCAGCAAAATAACGTTTGCCAAGCAGAGGTCCAACAAAGATGGTCTCATTATTGTCATCTACATATGAAGTTCCAATCTCACGAGGATTGCCCCATAAATAGGTACCTGTTTACAGAAAGCATACAGAACATTCAAGATAACCGGTGAGGAAATGCTGTTACTGACTTTTCATTCAAGAGTTAATGATTTTTTAACCATTTCTTCGTGCTCTTTAAACTTACCATCATTGGATGTGCCTAGGTCAGTGGTGAAACTTGCTTGTTTGGACATCTGCAGCTGGATGTTGGGGTTCTGATCCAGCATTTGGAAGGTCACCTGCCTGTTTATGCAAGGCCACTCCAGCTGGTCATCATTTTCACCAGACGTCAGTTGCACAAACAGTCCAAAATATGTCCCATACAGCCCAACCCCAAATGAGTAAGCATAGCCCCCACTGGAGTAGTGCCGAGGGCTGTTTAGAATGGTTGCATATGCACTCGTGGTCAAAAGGTTGTCAAAATCATCAATCTGCATGGTTACGTCTGGACATTCAAGTTCGGACAGATTGATGTCATCAATTGAGAAGCCGCCTGATGATGTTCCTGCTCCTCTACGAACCTCAAATTCCACCCGGAAGTGCTTGGTGGCATTCAGGGAAACATGCTGGAGCTGCCAGTGAGATGTTGGTTGACCTGGAGGGAGAGTTTTGTGATGACTGTATTACATCACTTGAATACTAATGGGTGATATATGAGGTAAAGCTTCAGTCTTAAATACTTTTAAGAGCAGATGATAGCAGACAATCATACAGCTTTACATTACCAGTGATCTGTCCCATGAGATGGAGGGTTCCCATGGGGTCCCATTCATCTTGAAACTCTCTGATCCAGATGTTCAGCTGGTCTGACTGGTTTCCGCTATGGTAGTAGTAGAACTGGAGACACTGGACATGACAATCTCTATTAGGACTCATCGTGTGGGTCTCCAGCCGGGCTGAGTCTCCCTCCATCCCTCCCGCTGTGCTAGCATGCATGAAGTAACCTGTATCTTGACCTGGAAAATTGTGGTCCGGAATGAAAGTGTTATGGCAGATCTGCATGGAAAAGGTCCCCAGCTGGTTGGGAACCATATACTGTATACAATAATGGAAGTAGCTTCTATGGACCTGTTTCGAAGCCTAGAATTCAGCCTTTCGGCCATCACCATCTTGATTTTTTGGAGCCAGAAGTGAACGAATTTGGACAAGAGGATGGAGCTTTGGAGCAGCGAGGGGTGGATCTGACTCTAGACTGTGGTAACTTCGTGCAGACAGCCGGTCACATAAAGAAGCCCTGTGCTTAATTATGTGTAACTGAAAGCATTACTACAATGTAAATGGGTGAGTTACACTATATGGACAAAAGTATTTGGTCACACCTGTTAATTATTTAATTCAGGTGTTTCAATCAGACCCGTTGCCACAGGTGTATAAAATCAACCACCTCGCCATGCAGTTTCCATTTGCAAACATTTGTGATACAAAATGGGTCATTCTGAAGAGCTCAGAACTCAGGAAAAGAGTTTGACACTCAGACGAGTCGACAGTCTGACGCTCTGTGATTTGTTAGTTGCTTTGAGTCATTGAGTTAGTGACATGTTGTTTAACCAGTGGCTGCTGCGCTCTTCAAGTGTGGTACTGTGATAGGATGCCACCTTTGCGATAAGACGGTTTGTAAAATTTCACCCCTTCTGGATATTATTAGAAAGTGGAAGTGTTTAAGAACAACAGCAACTCAGCCACGAAGCGGAAGACCACATAAAATCACAGAGCGGGGTCAATGACTGCTCGGGCGCATGTTGCGTAAAAGTCGCCAACACTTTGCTGATTCCATTGCTGAAGAGTTCATGGAATGGGTTTCCATGGCTGAGCAGCTGCATGCAAGCCTCACATCACCAGGTCCAATGCCAAATGTTGGATGGGGTGGTGTAAAGCACACCAACACTGGACTGTGGAGCAGTGGAAACATGTTCTGTGGAGTGACGAATCATACTTCTCTGTTTGGTAGTCAGATGGGTGAATCTGGGTCTGACTGCATTGTGCCAACTGTGAAGTTTGGTGGTGGAGGGATAATGGTATGGGGCTGTTTTTCAGGGTTTGGGTTAGGCACCTTATCTCCAGTGAAGGGCAATCTTAATGCTTCAGCATACCAATACATTTTGGACAATGCTATGCTTCCAACTTTGTGGCAACAGTTTGGGTAAGGCCCTTTTCTATTCCAACATGACTGTACCCCAGTGGTCAAAGTAAGGACTATTGATGAGTTTGGAAGAACTTGACTGACCTGGACAGAGCCCTGACCTCAACCCCATCGAGCACCTTTGGGATGAACTGGGACAGAGATTGCTAGCCAGGCCTTCACATCCAACATCAGTGCCTCACCTCATAAATGCTCTACAAAATGAATGGGCACAAATTTCCACAGAAAAACTCCAAAATCTTGTAGAAAGCCTTCCAAGAAGTGTGGAAGCAGTTATAGCTGCAAAAGGGGGATCAACTTCATATTAAAGTATATGTATTTGAATACAATATCATTACAGTCCCTGTCGGTATAATGGTCAGGTGTCCGAATACTTGTGTCCATATCGTGTAAATTCACCCCCTGAACAGTTATCATAAATGCTGACATGAGCTGTAGAGACCAAATCCATTTTATGCACCAGGCTGTAAACATGTTTATTTCTGCTGTAAAGTTGGGCATTTTAACATGGGGGTCTATGGGGATTGACTCGCTTCTGGAGCCAGTCTCAAGTGGGCCGATTACAGAAATGCAGGTTTTGGCACTTGAGCATCGGCTTCATTTTTCATCCCTAGAGGTTGCTGTTTAATGGAAACAGGGAATATTGTGGTTCATGGTCAGAACCTTAACCACCAGACATGAAACCCAAAAAATTGTATTTCATTAAACTTTTTACAATAAACAACTGCAGACTTTTAACTTTAAAATTCTGAAATCTTACTATGATTAGAAGTGCCACTGGGTAGACTGGTGTGGTCAGATGTAGGACCCCCGGGAGCATGTGTTACCATTTCCCAGCCACTGCCACTCTGTGAACAGCCATTCATTTGACACATGTTCCCGTCAGAGAAGCTGCAGTGCATCATAAATGCAATGGTTGAGTCTGTAGAGGTGAAAGAAGAACACAGAAATGACGACTATTCATTGAACAGTGAAAGCCTCTCAGTTTATTAAAGTCTGTAGCAGATGAATCAGTGGATGATCGTTATAGCTGTAGTCTGAGGTTTGAGGTTGTCATTAATTTATTTAGACTTTTACACAAAAACATTTTAGGAAACCCTGAGCTTGCTGCGCACCATAGCCATCACAGTATAACCTTATAGTTATTAATCAACCTTAACTTATCCCAATTAGTAGACAGAGGGGTCTACAGTCTGTGTTTGAAGGATATTGGTCAAACTGACTCAGCAGCAACAACAGGTTAAAAAGACAAAGATAGTTAGAAGCTAAAGCCGAACTATAGGCTACAGATCACAGTGTAAAAGTGAACCACCACACCACTGCTGATCGCCACAGAAGACAATGAATATAAAGGGAAACTTTGCTGATATTGAACCAGCTGTGTGGCATCACAGTGTGTGCAGATGAACGGTGTTTGGCTTTGCCCTCGTGCTCCTGCCAGCACCTGGGCCTCTGCCGCCAAATGGGCAGGGATCTCCGTGGGAAGTCAAACAATGTTCATCTGCACACACTGTGATGACACACTGGTGGTGGTTGAATATCAGCAAAGTTCCCCTGCTTCCCTTCACTGGTTCCTGTACAGCAGGGTCGGTCTTTGTTTCACTGTTATAATCATTAAAAAGCAAAAGCAGCGTGTGTATACATTCAGTAGGCTATATCTTCAGTAGCTAGCTAGCTAACCCTACACTTTTCAGGGTTTGATTTTGGTTTGGAACAGGGAAGAAACGTATATCTTTTTCCAACCTCTCCAGGTAACGAGTATCATTAATACACGATGTGCCCCAGGCACAACATTTAACTCCAAATCCACAAAACCAGCCTGAAAATGAAGGAAATCTGAAACGATTGCATTAGACTCAATGGAGCACAGCTGTGTTGTTGTCAGACTCAGGTCAGAGCTGGCCTGATGCTATGTTATGATTGGCCAGTCTGCGTCTGGGGGCAGGACATAGTGAAGGGTCAATTACTTTTTTTGTCACAGGAATAAACAATACTTCCAAACACTTACTGCAGTTGTAGAGGAGGTTCAGCTCCTGAACATCACTGGGACTCATTTCCAGTCTTTGACCAATAACATCCTGGAACTCTGGGTCAATGGTGATAATTGTTGATCCATTGCCATTGCTGAATGCATCTTTGCCATAATGCATCACTGAATTGTAGTCATACGGGACTCCATGGGTGGTGCTGGTTTCATTGCTGACTTTATCAAAATTATGCTCACGACCTAGGTGACACATATAAAAGCCAAACATCAATTACAGCATAATGTAGGCCTATTAAAAAATCTCAAGAGCGACATAGGTGCTTAAAGCATAATTCACTTATCACTGATTCAACCAGTGGTTCTCAAACTTTTTCTTAAAATAATGTACCCCCTTTGAAAAAGTTTTTCAGCCACTCAACATTTTTGGTAGAAAAAAATAAGCAGGTACAATTCAGCAGAGAGTCAGAGTTAGTAAACAACAACCTGAAAACACTGAAATGATACATTTAAAATGTTCAGAATCCATTACAAAATTCATGGCAAACCATTTTTTTGGAATCATGCAGTGACACTAAGAAAGCATCATAGTTCCATTAAATTGCACCCTTAAGTTGCACTTTCACTTTGGTGATATGATTGTTCTAGGAATTATGAATGACTAATATTAAAAAACAAAACAAAAAAACAATCTCACATACCCCCTGCAGTACTCCAAAGTACCACTAGGGCTACATGCATACCCCTCTTCAGAATTGTTTAACGTATTAATTTTGACATTAATTGACTGATTAATTTGTAAATACTCTTGATAATCCTGCTTATAGTTTAACAATTACTAAACTGATTATAGGTTAATGAACGTATTGCTTCATACGCCTTGATGTAACACATATAAAGAACAGGAATATTATAATGAAAGTCTTAATGAAACCTTCTTCGATGTTCTCGTAGACAATGGTCACATGCTCATCTCTGTCATGTCTGGACTGTTCATGGTAGAAGCCAAAAGCGTGGAGGAACTCATGTTCAACGGTGGAAATTTCATCACAGTACCTCCCGATGGAAAGGACCTGTCCGTTGGGTAGTACTCGGCCAATATATGAAAAACACCTACAATGGAAAAGGCACTCATCAGTAACAGCTCATTACCTTTAAACCTTCATGTAACTGATCTGACCAGGGTCTTTATTTATCAAAGCAAATGTAGAGCAAGTTAAACATCTATGCATGAGAACTTGTTGAGTTACTTGTAGGCAAAAGTAGCAAACAACTGTCATTGGAAAACATGCAAAGTAAGAAAACCAAACATACCCGTCTAACTTTTGGACAGAAATGTAATAGGCCTCAGAGTCCCTTGGTTTGAAGTCAATGCATGACTTTAACCTGAACTGGTTGAAGGCTCTCAGGGTGACTCCTTTGGCATTCAGCTCTTCCGTTGTTCATGAACATTATGTTACAGGAAAGAACAAAGAAATGACAATGTAAATGTAATGCAACTGATAATCCTGCGTGTGTGCATTATTCTGAGACTCTACTCTCACAAAATTCCTCTGTGTATGCTCAGGTGGAGGGGTGGGGTGGTTGTGTTGCACAACAGGATGGTGTGAAATGATGTTGACATGACAGTAAGCCACGTCTCTTTGTTTAAATCAATGAGCTGCTGGTTTCTTTCTCCACTGAGGGGCATTGTTATGTGGCTCCTCACTGGTAAAAGCCTCCAGCTGATTGATGCCTATTCAACTATACTGACTGGTGTACAATTGATGTCACAAATTTCACTAGTTACGTAACATGTCCCAAAGACGTGCTCCTCCTTAAATTTAGACAGACATTATTTGTTATAAAGCAGAAAAAAATATATTTACCAAGGCCATTGTCCAAAACATATGCGACTGGGGAATCCCACAGGCTGTCCACATCAGTAATGGAACTCCTTTGTATCCTTGGTTTCTAAGAAGATTTATAAGAAATGTGTTGGGTGACACACATAATCACAGATACATGTTTATCATTTTAGTAATTCACTACAAACTAACCCATACCCATTGGTAGCTTTGTCACCTTCTACCTATGCCAATCCTCAATGCCTATGTACAGTTTCACATAGATTGACCACGTCAGTGAGTAGAAAAACGTGGGACAGACAGAATGACTGACTGACAGAATGACTGACTGACAGTTTCAGTGATTATGTACAGCATACCATACCATGACTTAGTCATAGCAAAACTTAGAAAAAACCCCAAAACATTGGGCCACAGGGGGAGCCACAGTGATCGGTCGCATTTTAGCCATTTTTAAGCATTTTTCTGTTGTTATAGCGCCACCCAGTTGCCAATTAGAGTTAAATTTCTCCAGTCACCTTGAGGCGTCCTGTTCTACATATCTACCAAGTTTAGTAAAAATCGATATGGCGGTTAGGCCTAGATAAGAAATTAGCTCTCTAGCGCCCCCATTTTGTTTGATGGGGTCAATAATGGAGGGGTCCCCTCAGATTATGTGTGGTCATATGCCTACAAAGTTGCGTGGTGATCGGTGAAACCCTTGAGATGTTATACACCTTTATGTGATGAGCCACGCCCTCCGCAATATTCATTGCCTTATAGAAGCTCAGTTTTAGTAAGTTTTCCAACTTTTGCCAAGAGGGAACTTTAGATATTGGTCCCTAGATTATGTTCACCGAGTTTCATACAGATCGGTCAAACTTCCTAGGAAGAGATCGATTTTAAGTGTTTTTCAAAAAATTCAAAATGGCAGAAAATCTATATAACCGGAAGTTATTGAGGCAAATTTGTTCCTCATGAGGAGAGGCATCTCTGTGCAAAGTTTCATGTCTCTACGACATACGGGGCATGAGAAATGCCCATTCAAAGTTTGTGATTTCAATTGGTTGCTATAGCGCCCCCCTTTGGCCAATTGATGTAATATTGCTTCATTCGCATCCTCCCATGACCCTCTACCACTGTGCCAAATTTCACATGGATTGACCAAGTCAGTGAGGAGAAAAACGTGGAACAGACACACAGAGACACACACAGACAGAGTTTTCATCATTATATAGTAAGATAAGATATGCTAAACTCACCTCCAGGATATCATCTTCCAATGAACCATCTGTGTTTTTTTGAGCAAAAACATTAATAACTAATAGTTCACAACACTATGAAGCCACAACAAAGCTGCTCGGCCAAACAAAACACAAAACACTATCACCACATGAACTATTTAATGATACAAAGATTGTTGTCCTCACCCTTGTTTGCTGTTATAATGTCCTTATCTTCACCAATATCTACAAAAAAAACAAACAGATGAGATGCTGCCTTATAATGATACATTGATTAAATACCAATAATTGAGTTGAATTAATTTTATGAAACAAAATTAATGTTAAATAATGCAACTTACTCTTTATGATTGCTCCATTCTGAAAAAAAAACAAACAAACAGATTTATTGCATCACCATATAGCAATGTAATTCTCAGATATACAACATGAAATATGATGAATGGCATGGTAAATGGACGGCACTTGTATAGTGCCTTTGTTGTCATATGACCTCCCAAAGTGCTTTTTATACTACGAATCACATTCACACACCGGTGGCCGAGGCTGCCATACAAGGTGCCACTTGCCACCTGTGAGTGCCAACACACTCACACACCAATGGAAAAGCCATCGGGAGCAAACTGGGGTTCAGTATCTTGCTCAAGGATACTTCGACATGCGGACTGGAGGAACTGGGGATCAAACTGCTGATCTTCTGATTAGTGGACAACAACCTCTTCACATGATTGCATGATTGCATTTCTGTGCTACGCTGGTCTAAAATGAAAATGTACCCAATTTGAAGTCAGGCGGCCTCAAAGCTCATGATTCTGAAGTTTTTCAAATGTGTCGTAAAGTCCAATTTTCCATCAAAATAAATACTTTGTTATTCATTCATTAAATTTAAGGTAATAAAAACTACTTAAGAAAATGTGAAATTTGTAGCATTAAATACGTCATAATTTACGCTGGTCTAAAAGGAAAATGTACTCAATTTGAAGTTAGACTGCCTCATAGCTCATGATTCTGAGGTTTTTCAAATGTGTCTTAAAGTCCAATTGTCCACCAAAATAAATACTTTGTTATCCATTCATTCAATTTTAGGTAATTAAAACACCTAAGAAAATGTGTGGGATAAAATACGTCATAATTTGACAGAAAGCAAAACAGTAAAGTCACTCTTACTGGGTTTGGGGAGAATGCTGCTGAAACTGCCAAGTTCACAACAAGGAAAATGTAGCCTTTCATCCTTGCAGTGCGTCTTGGACCAAACTTAAATCATACAACAGAGGTTATATGAAGAAACATGAAAAACTCAAAGACATATTTCCTATTACTGAAACACAATAAAGCATCTATAGATTTTTCATTTAACACCATCTGAAATACCCGTTGTTTAACTTGTATCTACAGACGAAAAAAAATGCCCATCAGTATTTACCTGCAGCAGCCCCGACGGTCTGTTCCTCAACTGCACGCCAGATGCTTAGGCTGTGACAGGGGCTTTTTAGTGGGCATGGCGAAAACAAAAAAATGTTTTATACTTCCCGACAATTGTAGACAACTGTAGTCCTGCAGCATTGTTTAAATTCTTTCCAAATACAATGGCTGTTGTAGTTGCAATGCTGTCAAGATTAACATCTTTGTCATTGTCACTCGTCGGGCCATGAGCTTCCAACACATTATCAGAACCGGAATCAGAATCGGTTTTATTGCCAAGTAGGTTTTCACAAGAATATAAAATATATAAAAAAATATGGAGTAATTAGAAGCATACATATAAAAAGGAAATACTATAAACAATTAAATATAAAATCTGAATGCAAGTAACAATAATAATTGTAATATAATGAATATAAAAAATATGTACACTGTAAACATGAATAGGGTTGTCCTGTGTTGCTTACAGCCCTGTGGTGGTGAGTCGTGTTTTGCCTCCAGCTAATAAAATGACACAGAGTAATGCAATAGACAAGCAAAAGTCAATTGGTGTTAAAATATCTGTATATACCACTATGACAAACCTGTCTTAAGACTCATGGCTGGGATTTGGTAAGGTATTAAATTTACTGTGAGGATGTCTGAATGAACAGGGCTGCCAACTCTTCAGCTTAGTTTGTAGTGAGCTCAGGTTATCTGTGAAGTCATTTTATGAGTAGGCCGTAACCCACCACAGGGGTCAGGATCATCACTCCAAAAAATCATGGCCAGTAAGGAGTAAATATGGTTGATCAGTTTAATAGCCATGTCCAGACACCATCGGTTGATTAATGATGCTAAGTTCATTTAAGAAGTTGAAACCAAGCAGCAGCCTCCAGGGCTTAAAAATGGAGTCAACACAAAAACACATTCTCACTCCAACCTCGTCACACATTGATGTTTTGGTCATGGACCTTCCACGTCCTAATACTTCGTGCAGGGTGCCCCGGGGTATGTTGGTTGTTGACATTCTGGGACACAGTGTCAAGTTCTCTTCTTTCAAGATACACTTGCATTTTCAAAGGAAATTTACTGTTTACATACAGTCTCTTTCAAAGTAAACGCACTACGTTGGTACAACACCGCAAACTGAGTTTTTTTTCCTTCAACAACAAAAACACGTGGTTAGGTTTAGGAAAAAAGAACAGGTTTTGGGTTTAGAATGTTACAGGACGTGAACACCACTCTCTCGGGTAAAGGTCAGTGTTTGTTGGACCCATCCACCACCACTCGGACTTTCACCGCCTTAACTTTTGTCCTTGTCCCGCTGTGTTCCCCCCTGATGATATTAAGGAACACCTTTTCTCGTTGGTTTCTGATGCCACAAGTCACTGCCCAAGTGCCGGATTTCGACGACTTTGCACCTCTTGTCTGAACTTTTACTATTTTTAATGGTTGTTTATTTTAAATTGTAAATCATTAAGTAATTTTAAGTAATTTTCTCTTTACTCTTTTATTGTAAATCTGTATCCTTTATTATGTTTTATATTTTATTGCTCTGTAAAGCACTTTGAATTGCTCTGGTGTATGAAGTGCGCTATCCAAATAAAGTTGCCTTGCCTTATGTCTAAAGGTGCAGACACACCAAACCGACATCAAAGAACTAGCGGCGACGAAAGCCAGCTGTTGTGTTGTCTACATCGCCTCACGTCCCCCTGTGTCAGTTGCATATGAACACACTACACGGACTACATCCGACGGCCAAGTAACACGTACGTTCTGTGACTGCGTGAAAAGAGCGGAGTGACAGAGTGGTACATCCTGTCAGCCGAGGGGTTTCCTGTTTGTACAGCCGAGCACCGCAGCATCTCCATGGACTATTACATCCAGACGGTCCCGGTGTTTCCTCCGCAGGCTCCACTTCACTCAGCTTCACTCAGCTGCCCGCTGCTTCTTTCCACTTTAACCTGAATAACAAACCAGGGCTCAGTGCTCCGGTTGGATCCGCTTGGTGTGTCAGGGCCTTAAGCTTAAGAAACAGGAGAATGGTCTCAAAAGAACCCTTAATCCTTCGGTTTATCAAAACAAATAGAAAAAGAAAGAAAGAAAGAGAGAAACAAAGATAACTTGGGTGACATGGGAAAAATAATTTGTTTAATTAATTTGTTTAATTTGTACAAAACAACTCAAAATAGTGAAAGAGAAGAATTAAAGCAGGTGCTTTAGCATGTCCAGCTATAATAACATTAAAAAACAAAGCCTTTCAAACGTCACGATTTATTGCTTTTCTATTCTATGTGTCATTATGAATTGAATATATTTGTGTATTCGAGTAGATGATCAGTCGGACAGAGGTAAAAAATGAAGGAATGGTGACTGCGCTTTTTCCCATGCCTTCAGAAGAGGTAGAGGTTTTTACTGGTTTTGTAATACAAGATTTTCCACATTCTTTGGCTCACAGTGTCCAATGAACCATTACATCTTTCAACATACCATTTGTATTTTGTTTTTTTCTGCAACCTTTGTCTGTCAGCTGCATCTCTGATGGCTGGTTTAGCCGGGTGCCCCTATGAGTCACATGACTCAGGGGGTTAGGCTCAGCCAGGTCTCAGCTGCTTAGCACAAGACTCGGTAAAGCTGTAAATCAAAAAAAGAAACAGGTGTGTCATATTTCTAGTCATATGTTTTTTGCTTGGGCTGATGTCAAAAAGATAAACATATCTTTAACATGAAATATTATTTGTGAAGAAATTTCAGGCCAAATTACATGAACATGTAAACATGCAAAAATGAAGATTATTTCCCATTTGATGTAGCAGTGCAGCCTTAACAACAAGCAGATATATAAAATATCCAGTGTAACTACTGTACTGTACGTTAAAGGTGCTTAAGGGAAGATTTATGGGGAGGCCTGGGTTTTTTAAGTACTATAACACATACTATTGAAGCACAGTGTGAATTTCCATCAGCTCTCATGGCACTGAACCACAGAAATTTAATGGATGCCATGCTGTATTTCCTTCACATGATTTAAATAGTGTAGACGATTAAATGGCATTTAACTAAGCTATTCAGCTCAGGTCTAATTTTAAGACAGTAGGATCAGGATGCACTTGCAAGTCACATGATGGTGCAGTGGTTAGCATTGTTGCCTCACAGCAAGAGGATTCCTGGTTCAAAGCTGGGGAGGAGGATGCGAACCCTGGGGTGGCAGTGCTTGCATGTTCTATCCGTGTGTCAGCGTGGATTTTCCTCCCACAGTTCGGTTAACTGGTGACTCTAAATTGGCCGTAGGTGTGAATGTGAGTGTAAATGGTTGTCTGTCTCTATGTGTCAGCCCTGTGATAGTCTGGTGACCTGCCCAGGGCATATCCTGCCTCTCTCCCAATGTCTCCCCGGCGACGCTAACCAGGATGAGTGGTTACGGAAAATTAATAAATTAAGTGTTAATCTGAGTGTGGCAGTGAAAGAGCACTCAAGTTGATCTTGTTGACATCAGCAACATGTCGGATGACACTTCTGAAGAAGACCGGAGTCACAAGCCCCTTTTACACTGCCGAAATTTTCTGCGAATGTTGGGCCATTTTGCCAGCAAGCTGGGGATCATGGAGCCCCTCCCAGCTGACATTGGGTGAGAGGTGGGGTACACCCTAGACAGGTCACACATAGAGACAGACAACCATTCACGCTCACATTCACACCTACGGGCAATTTAGAGTTAACCTGCATGTCTTTGGACTGAGGGAGGAAGCCGGAGTACCTGGAGAAAACCCACCCTGACACAGGGAGAACATGCTAACTCTGCACAGAAGGGCTCCCCAAGCCCAGGTTCAAACCAAGAACCCTTTTACTGTGAGGCGACAATGCTAACCACTGCACCACCGTGCCACCCCTTCTGTGTAAATTTAAAATTAAATTGAAAAGTCAAAAAGTCAAAAATTTTCAATCATAATAATATTTTATAAACTTGCTTGAACTGCCCCATGCCACATTGTTAATGTTGCTCATGCAGCTTTGTGTTTCATGCCACCTGCACCAGAGTATGACTCTGTACACATAATGTATCCCGCTGTTGAAGGACAGCTTTAAAAACCTGTTTGGCTTGAACAGGACCATTCACAAACAACAAATGTGGGAATACAGCCTTATCACACCACCACTCACACACACCTGACTGAGAGCAGTCACAATAACTTAAGCTGTTCAGTTGTTGATGACCTGCTACGTGTGAAACATGTGAAACGTCTTCTCCTGTAAGCCTGTTTCTTCATTTGATGCTTCCAGTGAAGTTCCTTTAACTGACCCTGACAAAGAAATGCACAGTATTAATTCTCATAAACAGATCTCAGGCAGGTCAAACACCCTGCACCCTCTCTGTTCTAAACAAAGCTTTATAAAACACCAGTAACATAAATACAAATGGACCAATCACTATATAGAACATATGAAAATCCATTGTGAACTAATGTGTAATTTTCTCCAGCCGACTTCTGAAACATGTCATGAGATCAAAATTATGATAATTATACATTTTTTATAAGCAATTATAATACAGATAGAGATGGTTGTGAAGTACCAAGCTGATGTTGGCCTTTGTTTCTCTTTCAGAGTGGCTGATGTGTGAAAGGAATGAAAGGAACAAGAAGTTTTTTTTTTTTCAACTTTAAATGAGTTTATTTGGTATTTATGTAACCGGTGACTCTGATAAATAACGTATAGTCCCTTAATTACATACTTAAAATGCTTTTTAAAAAGCAAACTGTCTTTTACAATTGATTTTACACATGTAAAACACTGACAACACAGACAGCGACGCTGAATATCACCAAGAGACATTCAATAACTAGTATGTCCCACTGCAACCTCCGTAGTTCACCACGAACTATAAACTGACGTTGCCTAAAAACGCCGACAAAAACAAACCCCAAACTCACTACTACGAATATATTTTCATCTTAACTGTTCCTTCTCACTACAGAAATATTAACGACAATGTCAAACATATTACACAGTGTCTAAACTGTTAACTCACAAGCCTTCTGTCAACTCAACAGCTGGTTGTAGCCGCTATGCTAACAGTTAGCATTAGCTCGTTAGCTTACCTTCCTGCGTTCTCCCGCGCACCTTCAATGCAAGGAACAAGAAGTTACAATCAGTACATCTGTTACAGTGTCTTTATGTATGAAGGTTTGTCATTCTTATTATTCCATTTATCTGTGCAAACGGTTAAAAGGCTTGATGTTTTGCATTTTCTTGACAGGAGCCAGTGGCGTCGCCTGGCCTGGGCATCCAGGGCTTTAGCCCTGAACGTTTTTTCTTAAGCCCCGGATAATTCAACTTCAGAAGAAATAATGATAACTGTACATTAACGAGCCACTAAAGAAGTTGTAGTTTTCCATTTTCAAAGAATGCAACACAGGATGACGTCGAGACTGGTTAATCAGAGAGAGGGGTTGCGTGAAGCATCCGTGTTTTATTGGCTGATAGCCTCGCGTCACCAGGCTCTTCCGGTATCTAAACCGTTGGCGCGCTGGAGGGAGACGTTTTAGCAACAACACGAAAGATCATGGATATAAGACGTTTTTTCAAAAACAAGGAGGCTGACTCGGCTGAGGCTCACGTCTCCGGGGAGCCGTTACCAGAAACAGGTAAATGAATAATTTAAATTCTGTTTATTCCTTCAAAATTATGTGAAACGTGTAGTGTTAGGGGGGCGTGCCGGCGGAGCTGCGGGACAGTCCTCCCCGGTGATAGACGCTCTTAGGCGGGCTGAAAATCCCTGAAGGCTCGGTACGGCTGGCGACTTTTCCCACACATAAATTCAGCGATATTTTTCTCACATAAGTTACCAAAGATACCGCACACAACTACGTAACTGTTGTTAGGTCCTTCTAACGTTGCTGTGTGGGTTGAAGTGTTGGCCTTTTTCTTTTTATTGTGAAAGCTGAGCTTTCACAATAAAACTCCCGAGGACTTCCGAAGGGCTGACGAGCGCTGCCGAGCACCTCTATCTCATTTTGCCTACATATGTTCTGTTGTCATTCAGTATACATTTCTTTGTTTTTCTGGCAGCAGATTCAAAGGATGGAAGGAATGAGCAGATGGAGAAAAAAGAGCAGCAGAGACAGAGGTGCAACACAACACAGTAGGGGTGGAAGGAAAAATAAAATACCAAAAATTAAACTGACTCATGTAATGTGCATTTTTTGGGGAAAATATGGCTCCTGATATAGTCTGTAGGCATCATCACTCAACTTTTTCACATGGTCTGGTGTTAAAAAAAAAGCAAACTAAAAATCGCAAATCATGTAACCTCTAACATTTTTTAAAAATTGAGGGGGTATATGACTTGGCTTCAGTCAAAATATTTACAAAATATTTATTTTTTTGGCTTTAATTCCTGTGTTATCTATAAGTGCATCATCCTGTTTCTATCAATATAATATAATTTTATTTTGACACATTTTGAAGTACATGTTGGCAGTATTTGGCTGTAGACAAGACGCAATAAGGCTCAAGAAAGCATAGAGCTTTTTTCCCAGGTAGTGTCCCCTAGACTTCCCTATAAGGTTCTGGGCTCAGCCCCCAATGTTCTCAGTCCCAAGAAACGCCCCTGACAGGAGCTCATGTTGACAGAAATATCTCTCATCCATCTCACTCTTGTTTGAATGCTGATTAGACTTTGCGTGCACTCCTTCTGTACATGTCATAAGACTGAAACTTGATATGATCAGTATCATACAAGCCTTTTCTTCTGCAAACTGCTGTGTCATTACTTCAAACTCACTGTATCACACTAATATAAAGATGTCCTGTGGTCACATTCTTACCAATCTGCCCTTAAACCCCTCAAAACTTCGTACAAAAGCAACATTCAAGGTAAAAGCTGAGAAATCAATGCTTCCCTAGGTATTACTTATTTAGAGTTTTACAATCAGAACTCAACTAATCAACTTCATTGGGACAGTGTGGGTGTGATTTGATCAGATTTTCTGTGGCAACAACAACAAACAACCCACTCACCTTAAGCTCATGAGACGATCGCAGATAAAAACACATATCAAGAAATCTAGCATTTTTCACGTGATGACTAAAACATAACTGACGTCAGCAGGAAATGTCGTGTTCGTTCTGGAACACAGCGCTCCTAGTTAGGAGCTAAGATATAAAAACTCAGCTAAAAATTTCCTTTGGTACTTGTACTTGTACTCGTTGTCCTCCGCTTATCTGGGTCCAGGTCGCGGGGGCAGCAGCCTCAGCGAAGAAGCCCAGACAGTCCTCTCCCCAGCCACTTTCGTCAGCTCTTCCAAGGGAACCCCGAGGCATTCCCGGGCCAGCCCAGGCCATGTAATCCCTCCAGCGTGTCCTGGAGCGGCCCCGAGGTCTCCTCCTGGTTGAACGTGCCTGAAACACCTCCCAAGGGAGGCGTCCAGAACGCATCCTTACCAGATGCCCAAACCACCTCAACTGGCTCCTCTTGATGTGGAGGAGCAGCGGCTCTACTCCGAGTCCCTCCCGGATGTCCGAGCTCCTCACCCTATCTCTAAGGCTGAGCCCAGCCACCCTGCAGAGGAAACTAATTTCGGCCGCTTGTACTCGCGATCTCGTTCTTTCGGTCACTACCCGGAGCTCGTGACCATAGGTGAGGGTTGGAACGTAGATCGACTGGTAAATCAAGAGCTTCACTTTCTGGCTAAGCTCCCTTTTCACCACAATGGACCGGTTAAGCGCCTGCATCACTGCTGACGCTGCCCCAATCCGCCTGTCAATCTCCCGCTCCATCCTACCCTCACTCGTGAACAAGATCCCGAGATACTTAAACTCCTCCACCTGAGACAGGACCTCCCCCCCGACCTGGAGTGGGCAATCCACCCTTTTCCGGCTGAGGACCATGGCCTCAGACTTGGAGGTGCTGATTCTCATCCCAGCCGCTTCACACTCAGCTGCGAACCGTCCCAGCGAGAGCTAGAGGTCACTGTTCGATGGAGCTAGGAGGACCACATCATCCGCAAAAAGCAGGGATTAGATCCTCCCGTCACCGAACCTGACACCCTCCACCACTCGGCTGTGCCTAGAAATTCTGTCCATGAACAGAACCGGTGACAAAGGGCAGCCCTGGCGGAGTCCAACCCTCACCGGGAACAGTTCCGACTTACTGCCTGCCACGTTAACCATATTCATGCTCCTTCTGTACAGGGACTGGATGTTCCTTAGCAAGGGGCCACCAACCCCATACTCCCGGAGCACCCCCCACAGGATGCCCCTGGGGACACGGTTGTAAGCCTTCTCCAAATCCACAAAACACATGTGGACTGGTTGGGCGAACTCCCATGCCCCCTCCTTTGTTTGTTTTTTTTCAAGAAAGAAAGTTAAATTGAACAAAAAGTATCATATAAATGGACAGCAAAACAACAACAACAAAAAACAAAATGCTTTTATCACACTTACATTGTTACAGTTATTAACTGGATATTCTCCCTTTACATAACCCTCACAGTGAGTGATACATTAAGATCAAGAAGAGTCACAGTTTATTAAAGCTGGTTATTAAAGCTACAATGACATAGGATTAAATAAATCAGTGTATGGGGAACAATGGGTTACTGTATGGGACGTGTGCATGAAGCAGTTTCCATTTGTTTGCAGATGATACTCAAATCTATTTAAGCTGTGATCCAACAAGTGACTCAAAAATCAAAAACATGACTAACCTGTTAAATTGCATTCACAAGAGGATGTCACAAAATTTCCTGCAGCTTAATGCTGACAAGACAGAGATATTGATCATTGGATAAGATACAAGATGTGCAAATGTTCAAATATCAAACAATCTCGGTTCCTTGTCCTACTTTGGCTGGCTTCCATCATCTCAGAAATATCCCCAGAATATGATCATTCCTTTCCAACAAACATCTGGAAACTGTTATTTATGCATTCGTAACCAGTCGTTCAGGTTACTGCAGTTCCTTGCTCTCTGGCATCAGTAAAAAAATCCCTGTCACGCCTCCAGCTCATCCAAAACTCTGCTGCTGCCAGAATCTTGACTCGCACTAGAATCACAACTTCCCTACACTGGTTATCTGCTGCTTTTAGAATTGATTTTAAGATATTATTGATTACATACAAAGCCCTGAGAGGCCTTGCCCCAAGTTATATAACAGATCTTTTATTGCCCTTTGTTCCTTCTCATACCCTGAGATCCTCAGATGCATCTTTTCCTTTTGTTCTAGAGGACTAGATTAATTCACAAAGTTGACAGAGCCTTTGCAGTTAGAGCTCCTTGACTGTGGAAAGACCTGCCTGAGGAGATCAGGGCTAAAAACTCTGTCTCATCTTTTCCCCCTGAAAACCTACTTGTTCAAAACTGCCTTTGGTAATTTTAACTGCATTATTATGTGTTTTTACTCTGTTATGTGTATTCTATTTTTACTGCATTCTTTTATATACTTTATTAATCCCCCTTAGAGGAAATTCAATTTTGTCACTCTGTTGTCATATACACACAGACCTGCAATACACACATATGCACAAACAAGACCTATACATGCATTAAATGGAGAGATGTCAGAGCGAGGGGGCTGCCCATGGACAGGCGTCCCGAGTGGTTGGGGGTTCAGTGCCGTACTCAAGGGCACCTCAGCAGTGCCCAGGAGGTGAACTGGCACCTCACCAGCTACCAGTCCACACTCCATATTTGGTCCGGGTGGGGACCCAACCCAAGTCCCTATGGACTGAGCTACTGCCGCCCCTGCATCCAATCGACGCCATACCTGCTTTGATGCAGAGCCTACATTGTACCCTATGCTGTAGCCTGATCTGCACCCCCCCCAGAAATGTAACTATACTTCTTGGTGACGCAGACTTCCTGTCTGTTTTTGTAAGCTGAATAAAGCATGGGTTTTCTCCAGGTACTCCGGCTTCCTCCCACAGTCCAAAGACATGCAGGTTGGGGATAGGTTAATTGGTGACTCTAGATTGTCCGTAGGTGTGAATGTGAGTGTGAGTGGTGTCAGCCCTGTGATAGTCTGGTGACCTGTCCAGGGTGTATCCCGCCTCTCTTCCAGTGTCAGCTGGAATAGGCTCCAGCCCCCCTGCAACCCTCAAGAGGATAAGCGGTTACAAAAATGGATGGATGGATGGATGGATGGATGAACAATGAAGCCTCCACAAAAATAGCAGTTTAAGTCTTGTGTGTAATTTATCCTTCGGGGATTTATACTTGAGGATTTATCTTGGCTCCATATGAGCAGAGTATCTTATACTTGTTTGGAAAACGTGTTTAGTATAAGTCGGTTGTTTTGTTGGTGAACCTTGTGAGTTGTAATGGAGCTAAATTTTGTTTGCGCTAAAACATTAGCATGTTGTATTTGCGGGGAAAATGTGTCCAGATAAAGACAAGTGCTTTGTCTGTGAATGCTGCAAGTTAAGATGAAGCTGATTTGTGTACTTGTGTTTGAAACTGTCGCTATTGAGCCATGTTTAAATTGTGTTTTGGGTGTATTCTAATCCACTAAAATTTACAGCACTTCACAGAAACCTCCATCGCCAACCCAAGTCCCTATGGACTGAGCTACTGCCGCCCCATTTATCTTGTTTTATTTGCTTTGTCTTTTCATCGGTTTTATAAAACACTTTGTGTTTTGAAAGGTGCTATATAAATAAAGTTTATTATCATAATTATTATTATTATGCCTGTGGTCGTCTGGTGGGAGGGTCTTTGGACAGAAAGAGGAGGGGGGAGCTGCAGAAAAGAGGAAGAGGGTGTATATTAAAAATCTGCCTTTTTTTGGTCTTTTTTTCAGATTTCTGCCTATTATTTTTATTTTTTATTTTTCTGCTGATCTCATTTATCGGTTTTAAAAGAGCTACTCATCAACATAACACCATACAGCATATTTTTAATAAGGTAGCGAAGTGGTTAGAGTGATCTTGAATGGTCATTGCATATAAATTCAACAACATTGTTATTTAGCTGATGCTTTTTACCCTAAAACTCCTAGTATAAGTGCAGTCAACCATGTGGGTACGACACAAAAAGCGCAAGAATCATGCAAGTACATCCATTTCATCAAATATGCCAACAATACAAAACGCTATGCTACACAAATTCTAGCCATGTTACTTTAGTAAGACAAGTGATCCTCTATCTGCTCATGCCTTCTACATTTTCCATCATGACACTGTGAG